GCTTTCCCAATCTTTTTTTTACCTGGCCTGCTTAGTGGCTGGGTTAGAGCCTCTGGCTGAATGAGTATCCTCTGCCTTTCTCTTGCAGTTCCCTTTCAGTTGCCAGAAAAAGAAATACAGAGTTCATAGTCGACTCCCGATTATCCACGGATGAGTTTCCCAGCAGTTTCCCAGCGTGTGTGTGCCCTGCGGTCCCGCCCCACATGCTGCTGAGTGACAAAGATTAGTAAATGGATTATTCAGTGGCTGCATTCCTCCAGTGAATCGCTGTAGGGGGTGAAAACAGGCACCCCTCCTCCTCTCCCATCAAATACCTTCCAGAATTTTTGCCTGATAGTTTCAGGTAGTTAGTTGTACGTACACCTTTCTCAGCAAAGATTTGTGTTCAGGATTTCAGTGTAGTTAAATGAGCCGGTGGAGTGGTTTCATAATTGCTGCATTGTTAGTCCAACTCTGTAATTAGAGATGACTTCATTGGCCTAAGGTTTCTCTATGGGTGACGCCCTGAATTCAGACCGAGTCGAACACCATATCCTTTTATGAAAAAAACCAACAAACAAGGTTTTGTTTGCTTTTTGTTTTATTCCCTTTTGGGAAATTCTGTTTTCCTTTGTCTGAGATGTTTAGGGAGGGAGAGGATCTGTGTCTCTGTTGTTGTTGTTGTTGTTTTTCCTGAGCTAGGGAGAAAACAGAATTTAGGACAGATCGAAGTGCTTTGCAGATGAGAAAACTCAGAAATATGCAGAGACCCTGGGAGTTTTTACTTTTTTTTTTTTTTTAAAGATTTTATTTATTTATTTGACAGAGAGAGGGGGAAGCAGGCTCCCTGCTGAGCAGAGAGCCCGATGTGGGGCTCTATCCCAGCCAGGACCCTGAGATCATGACCTGAGAAGGCAGAGGCTTCCGAGCCACCCAGGCGCCCCTTTACTTTTGATTAGTATTTCATTGGCTACATTTAAATGGAAGGAAAAAAAATATATATATATATATATTTTTTTTTTTTTTAATATCAGCACACTTTGTCTCTCTCTGTTTCTTTCTCTCTCCCATGTAAATAAAATTCACTTTTTTGGGAAGACAGACTGGGGAAAAGGACGTATTTCAAAAGCCAGACTTTCTTTTGGCCTGTCAATTACATACTGGGAACTTGACATTAAACTTTTATTCAGCAAGTAAATTTACTTTTTACCTCTTTACCTTTTACTTTTCATCACTGATGACAATGTGCAGATTGGGAGGACTATGATAGTATTGACAAGCTGTTAGTGATTTTTAAAAGTGGCCCCAAAATATTTAAAGTAAAATTTGCATTTTTGCCATTATCTCCTGGCCACTCTGCAAGTTGTAGTTAGAAACTGGCCTTAATGAAGGAGCCAGATTGAGTCATGGATGAAAAGTGGCTGACAGGTTTTCGTGGGGCCCATCCTTCTTAAATTACTTCGAGTAAAGGCTTATAATTTTTATGTACACAGGACATCTTTATACTCCGGAGTCAATAATTATAGGGCAAATGGAAAAACTTCATACACCCCATTGAAAAGGTTCTTATTAGAACTTACGCCTATTTTTATATAGCCTCTCACAACTACTTAGGCGTTCATTTATTCCACCATTTTTTCTTTTTTTTTTTCTTAATGATTTTATTTATGTATTTGAGAGAGAGAGAGAGAGAGAACACGAGCAGGGGTGGGCGTGCGGGGCAGAGGGAGAAAGAGACAAAGACACAGAATCTGACGTGGAGCCTGATGGGGGGCTCGATCCCAGGACCCCCGGGTTCATGACCCGAGCCGAAGGCAGACGCCCAACTGGTGGAGCCGCCCAGGTGCCACTCCCTATTTTCTTTCATTAAGGATTTGAAGTTACTATATAATATTTTATGGTTTACAGTATGTCTTCACATATGCCATCCTTAATCTTCATGAGGACCCTGGGGAAGGAGGTACTGTTGCTACTTTCAAATGAGGACACTGGGGGCCAGATGAATTTAACTTGCTCATGGACACCCTGCTAGGAGAGAGCAGAACCAGGACCCTGCTTGATGCTTTCTGATCGCATGTTCAAGACTTTCCATCTTGCCTTTGTCACACCCTACAGCCTTGAGTAAGGAACAACTATTGCCCGTGTACAGGGCAATAATGATGTCACATCCTCGGTTTTGCCTGATAAGCCCCAGTCTAGGATGTTTTAGTTGCTTTGAGGGAAGAAAGTCCTAAAGTGCAATGAATGGCCCATGAAGAGGAATAGAGCATCTATAATTTTAACTTGTATGATTGAGATTTTTGAAATCTTCATTTTAAAAACTTACTGGCAGTCTTTACTAAATTACTTAAGTGTGATATTTTTTCCCCCACGATAGTACTTAATTGCTTAATTTCCTTGAAGATACCATCAAATATCTACTAGTAGTCTTAAGAAAAAAGCTTTTTTTATTCATGATGGGAAAAGGCCTACGTTACATAAGCTACTTCAAAAATTGTGACTTTTGGGATGCCTGAGTCAGTTAAGCACCTGCCTTTGGCTCAGGTCATGATCCAGGGTCCTGGGATCCAGCACCCCCCCCATCATGCTTCCTGCTCAGTGGGGAGCCTGCTTCTCCCTCTCCCTCTGCCTGTTCTGCCACAGCTCTCCCTGCTTGTGCTCTCTCTCTTGCTCTCTTTCTCTCTGAAAAATAAATAAAATCTTCAAAAAAAATTGTGACTTTTATCCACAAAATCATCTACTGTGAGGCTTTTAAATTTGACTTTGTATTTTCTAGATTTAGCTCAGGTGTCTCAGGGCAGCATTTATTTCAAATAATTATAAATCAATGAAATTGAGTTTATTTAAGTAAGAGACTCCTAAATTCAGCAGTTCTGTTATCCTGGACCAACTTACCTGGCAATGTTATTTTGGGGATATATGCATATTCTAGTTCCTTTTATTCTTTCTTGTATGTGCCTCTTGAAGTCTCCTGTGAGTTATAGGTGTTGTTGGGGAGGAAACAATTTTTCTTCTGCCCTCCTAGGTTCTTTGGCTGCTGTAAGTACATTGACATAAAACAGATTAACAAGAGAAAAACAATAGCTTAATAACCTGCATACCTCGTGTATCCATGGGAGAGACCCAGGAAAACTGAGTAACTCCCTAAAATGGCTGAAACCACCACCTTAAATGCCACTTTCAGCTAAAGACAAAAGAAGATGCTGGGCGTGGGGAGTCAATTATGGGACAGAAAACAATGTAAGCTTGTTATGCAGATTTAAGACTATGCCTTCCTCCATTGATAAGAGTTTCTGGAGATTTAGATATTTTCTTCCTGTTAGAGCAGGGAGACACTCTGACAAATGGAGATTTCCCTTATGAATGTATATATTTCATATATTAACTTCTCAAGTTTCAGAGCTTCACCGCTGTTTGCTATCTTAAAAATAACCAGCTTGGGGCACCTGGGTGGATCAGTGGGTTAAAGCCTCTGCCTTAGGCTCAGGTCATGATCCCAGGGCAGGGAGCCTGCTTCCTCCTCTCTCTCTGCCTGCCTCTCTGCCTACTTGTGGTCTCTGTCTGTCAAATAAATAAATAAAAATCTTTAAAATAAATAAATAAATGAAAATAACCAGCTTAAAATAATTAGTATGCCAAGGAGGAATATTTTGGGGTGATATAGTCTGCTCCCCTTCAGTGTTAAAGAACTCACTTTAGGCTTTCATTAAGACAATTAGACAGGGACTCCTGAGTGGCTCAGTCCATTAAGTGTCTGACTTCAGCTCAGGTCATGATCTCCGGGGTTGTGGGATGGAGCACTGAGCTCAGTGGGGAGTCTGCTTGTCCCGTTCCCTCTGTCTCCTTCCCACTAATGCATGTACATGCACACGCTCTCAAAATTAAAAAAAAAAAAAGACAATTAGACAGGAATAAGAAAAGAGAAAGCTTGAAAGTATACTTTGAGTTTTATTAATGCTGCATTATATTGATCTTTAAAATTTTTATTTTTGAAGTACAGTTGACCTATAATGATTAGTTTCAGATGTACAGCATAGTGATTCGACAGTTCTATACATTGCTCAGTACTCACCTCCATAAGTGTAGTTACCATCTGTAATACTATTTTTTTAAGTAAATGGTTGTTTTGAAATCATTTCTATGAGATCTAAGTATTTCCTAACTTTGTAGGAAGAACAAAATTATTTCTTTCCTCGCCTATCTGAAAAGAAATTAATGATCTTTTAAAGTCTCCAGAGCCTTTCCCTTCTATACCTTTATTGCAGCCACTAATTCCCTTTGTGTCAAATTATAATTATTTTTATGTTGCCTTCCCCAGATTGTAAATTCCTTGAGGGCAGGAACTAGGCATATAACAGATGCCTAAAATATTGGTATAACTGTATGAGGATAGAGGTGTGCGTCTATGTTGGGGAGAAGTATGAAGAAGAGGGAAAGAGATTTCTGCCTCTATGAGCCTTGCTGCCTGCAAAAGGGAGAAGCCGGGGAGAAGGGTTTAGTCAGCAGGTTGAAGGGTGGGACAGGAGAGGGAGCTGTATCTAGGACCATCTTTGTCTCATGGTCTCTTTCGTAAAGAAGGGATAAGGTAGTATGAGAATAAAATCACCTGTCTTCTATTTTTTTTTTTAATTCACACACTTTAGATCATTACTGATGCCCAAACTGCCCAAACTGTGAAGGACCTTTAGAGACACAGGAGAGGCCACATGTTTTGGATTTTCTGAGATGGTCTCACTTTCAAACTTTGTGTCCCATTATTCTGTGTGGTATCGTTCATGGGGATGATTAATAATTTCATACTGAAAACATTACTACTTTAAATTTGCATAAAGAAAATTGGAGTAAATCCTATATAGTCTGTTCATAATCAGAAGTGTTAAACATCATAATAGTAAAATAAAGGATGCTTTTTAAAAGTCCCACCATTAGATTGTAAGTTAACATATGAAAAATAGCTTTTTACTCTTAATTTTTCAAATGCCTGCTTCATATCTAACTGAAGATCTTCCTTTACCTTCTAGAGCCTCAGACTACTTGGAAAGGTGATTCACCCAGCTTATCTGCTGAGAAGTTTGTCCCTCTTGAGTGAGATTTTAACATCACAGGTAAGAAAAGTTTATGGGGAAGCAAGTTCTGTTTTCTTTTCTTTTCTTTTTTAAGATTTTATTTATTTATTTGACAGGAGAGAGAGATCACAAGTAGTCAGGCGGGGGGTAGGGGGAGCGTGGTGGAAAGCAGGCTGCTGAGCAGAGAGCCCAATGTGGGCCTCCATCCCAGGACCCTGAGATCATGACCTGAGCCATAGGCAGAGGCTTAAACCCACTGAGCCACCCAGGCGCCCCTTGTTTTCTGTTTTTTAAGACTCTTTTTTGGGGGCACCAAGGTGGCTTAGTCAGTTAAGCATCTGGCTTCAGCTCAGGTCATGATCTCCGGGTCATGGGTTCAAGCCCTGCATGGGGCTCCCTGCTCTGTGGGGAATCTGCTACTCCCTCTCCCTTTCTTCTCCCCACCTCCCACCCCCAACCCCACTCCTCTCCCTCTTTCTCTCTCTCTCTCTCTCTCTCTCAAATAAATAAATAAAATCTTTTAAAAAGTAACATAAAATTAGAAAAATACAGTCTGTTTTGGGTGTGCCTGGTTGGCTCTGCCAGTGGAGCATGTGAGTCTTGATCTCAGTGTCATGGATTTGAGCCCCACACGGGGGGTAGAGTTTACATAATAAAAAAATACTAATAGGGGCACCTGGGGGGCTCAGTGGGTTAAAGCCTCTGCCTTTGGCTCAGGTCTTGATCCCAGGGTCCTGGGATCGAGCCCCACGTCGGGCTCTCTGCTCTGTGGAGAGCCTTGTTCCTCCCCTCTCTCTGCCTGCCTCTCTGCCTACTTGTGATCTCTGTCTGTCAGATAAATAAATAAAATCTTTAAAAAAAATTAAAAAAAAATAAAATTAAAAAATTAAAAAAATACTAATAATAAAATGGTTAAAAATAAATAAGTAAATAAAAGTCTGTTTTTATTTAATTTTTGAAAATAACCAGTCTTTAGAAATGGGTATTGTGTTGTGGTGGAAACATAGCTCATGGTATCATATGGTTGATTGAAAACATCCCAGGGATTTGAGAAAGCTGAGTGTGAATTCCAGTTCCATGGTCCCTCTGAACCTAAGTTATAAGAAAAAAGAGGAGAATATATACCCCCTAAGGCTGTTGTCAGGGTTCAGGGAATTAATACAAATATGAATTTATTTGACGTAGTGCTTGGCACGCAGTTGTTGAATGGATGAATTTAGTAAAAAGTTGTTTCATCGAGTGCTTTCCTATGTGTCTGGGACTGTGGTAAGTTCAAGAGAGAACAATTCTGGCTCTAAAAAGGACAGGTGTAGCCCAGCTCTCTCTTGATGAATTGGTGGGTAGATGTTTTTTTTCAAGTTTTCATTTAAATTCCAGTTAGTTACCATAGAGTGTATATTAGTTTCAGGAGAATTTAGTGATTTATCATTTACATACAACAGGTGGATAGTTTTTTTTTTAACTAATAACAAAAATATTGAAAAGGGGTAAATATACAATCTCTAATTTGTGTTTTATATAGATTGTGAAATTTAACATACAGAGTACTTTTTTTCAAGATTTTATTTATTTGACAGAGACACAGTGGGAGAGGGAACACAAGCAGGGGGAGTGGGAGAGGGAGAAGCAGGCTCCCTGCTAAGCAGGGAGCCTGATGTGGAGCTCGATCCCAGGACCCTGGGATTATGACCTCGAGTCCCAGGGCCTTGGGATCATGACCTGAGATGAAGGCAGACGCTTAACATCTGAGCCACCCAGGTGCCCCCAGAGTACTTTTTTGAAAGAGGAACACAGTTAAGGCCATGAAACTATCCTCTTTGATACTGTAATGGTAGATCCATGATATCGTGTGTTTGTCCAAACCCATAGAATGTATAACACCACAGATGAACTCTAAGGTATAACCACACACTTGAGCAACTCTGATGTGTCAGTGTTGGGTCATCGACTGTCGCGAAGGAGCCACCTCTGCTGGGGGAAGTTGATAACGGGGTGTGTGAGGACCGAGATCTCTTTACTTCCTGCTCAGTTTTGCTGTGAACCTAAGTGTTCTCTAAAAGTGAAGTCCTCAGAAAAGATTGAGAAAAAGAAAAAGCCAAAACAAAACAAAAAAGAACCCCAACCAAACCCAGAGAACACGTCATCATTTTCATGGCTTTCCATCCAAAAGTTGTTGATAAGCTTGTATTTGGGGATTACCCATTGTGAAACAGACCTCCTTTCTTTATTGCAGGGTTCAGTAAAGTTTTTCTGTAAAGGTCCAGATCACAAATGTTGTGAGCCAAGAGGCAAAATCAAGAATATTATATTGTTTGTTTTCTTATTTTTGTAAAGATTTTATTTATTCATTTGACAGAGAGAGAGACAGTGAGAGAGGGAACACAAGCAGGGTGAGCGGGAGAGGGAGAAGCAGGCTCCCCACTGAGCAGGGAGCCCAATGCTGGGCTCAATCCCAAGACCCTAGGATCATGACCGGAGCCAAAGGCAGATGCTTAACCATCTGAACAACCCAGGCACTCCTTCACATTGAATGATTTTTAAGTGACTTAATGGGAAGAAATGGTGAGGTGGAATGGGAATGGGAAACAATGTGAAATGACAGATGTGCTAACTAACCTTGTTGTAGTAATCATTTCATGATATATTAGTGTATCCAATCATCATGTTATATACCTTAAACTTATACACTATTATATGCCAGTTACATCTCAATAAAGCTGGAAAAAATGGAAGCAGCCAGTAAGAGAGAAGGAGCGAGAGAAGGGCTTAATAGAACAGTTACATATTCCCTCCACCTTCAGTCACAAAATTTGGACTTTCAGTTGTAACATAACCACAGATTTCTAGTATGGATCTCTTCCCGTCTTTACTAGGTACCTTGGCTCTTCCTTTCTAAGAATTTGTCCTTGAAAGGAGGATTCAGAGCTTTTTTTTTTTTTCTGAATAACTTTTGGTAAATAAAGTTTACCAAAAGACTTCTCATGTGTTTGTTTTTCTTTATTATGGCTTTAGCTGTAAATATGGAAATGTATTGAGATGGCTTTAGCAGTTTGCTGTTCTGTTTAAATTACCTCTAGATGAGACTTTCATAGGAATGTTTATAGTATAAACATCACAAACCTCTTTCAGTCTTAAACCTTTCTGGTTTCTCTTAGATCTTTAAATGGAGGAAATGGCTACCACTCAGATCTCCAAAGATGAGCTTGATGAACTCAAAGAGGCCTTTGCAAAAGTTGGTAAGTATTTTTTTTTAATAGTTTCAACTATAGTAAAGTCATTTTTGTTTGGCCCTGATGGAGGTTAATTCTCTAAAAAATCATATGAATGGTTAATCACAAACCTTAGGGCAAGGTAGTTAAAATCAATGGGGTAAAGTTTTAGAAGCTACGCCCTAAACGATTATTTCTTTTTTTTTAAGATTTTTATTTATTTATTTGATAGAGATTACAATTAGGCAGAGAGGCAGGCAGAGAGAGAGGAAGAAGCAGGCTCCCCACTGAGCAGAGAGCCCGATTGATTCGGGGCTCGATCCCAGGACCCTGGGATCATGACCTGAGCTGAAGGCAGAAGCTTTAACCCACTGAGCCATCCAGGCGCCCCTAAACTATTATTTCTAATTACATCTGTCTACTATGGTCAAAGGTGTTTAGTCTACCCTGGCTCCTGAAAACTTGGGACAAATTTTGTGTTGTTATTGCGTTGTGTATCTTATTTTTCCGAGGAAAAGATTTGGAGCTTTCACCATATTCTCAGAGGGGTGTGTGAGACTGCTGAAGATGTCAGATGATGATTAGATGATGTTTTACCTTTATCTCGTTAGCTTGGCTTTATTGCATTTTCCATCGATCTTCTCTGCCTTTGGATAACGCAGCCCGTTCTGCTTTCTCACATTATGTTCTAGTATCAGCATTACATGGGGAGACATAGCATGCCATCTGGTTTTTCCTTAAACCTCATTGAACATGTCTTGGAATTTAGCTGCTATGGAGTTTGTAGTATTTATATTCCAAATTTCAGTGCTCAGGTCAAATCAGTCAAAGCTGGTGAGAAAACAGGGTAAGAACCGATTATTGACACGTGTACTCACATGAGTCGACAGGGGCTTAGAGAGGTAAACTACTATTTGGTGTCTCCTTGATGAAAAGGTATAAAGTTAGATCATAATGATTTGTTATTTAAATCAGACTTGACTCTGGGACCTGTGATGCAAATCTCATTAAAGAAAAGTAAGGAAGCTTACATCTCTATTCCCATGGATTCAAGGCCAACATTTTCTGTGAAGGCATTTAGTAAGTAACAGCTTGCCTTGGGAAGAAAAATGACCGCTCCCACAACCAAAGTGACTGTTCACAATCTCATCAGAATTCTAAGTAGAAAAAAATAGATAGGCCTTATTCTAACACACTTTTCTGTGTGTGTTTGTAAAAAAAAAAAAAAAAAAAAAAAAGAAGCAACCTGTTAACTGGCCATAGATACTACCAACTGTAAGAAAGAGTACTATCGGTCTGATACAAGATTGCTTAGGAGAAAACAAGCAGGTAAATTGTTGGCTGCAAATTTTTTAAAATCTCATTGCTCTGTAGAAATAGCCTTATCAGAATTGTTTAGGATTGTATATCCTTTGAACCTTCTTTTTCTTTTTTTTTCTCCTTATAATCCTCCCTCAGTGTTGGGGACAGCCTCATTTGTTTCTTTATGAATAGAAGTTTGGGTAAGACCAGGACTTCACTATGGCCATTATTGAATCTTCAAGGCCTTGCTTCCTTTAAAAAAAAAAAAAATGTTTATTATTGAATACAGGCCTTGTTCTCATGAGAAGCATCTTGGAAATAATTGGGTGCAGTAGCTTTTTAGAATGTCGAGCTATTCAGTTGTGGCTTACCTGACAGAACTGAATACTCTTAATCAGGAAAAGAGCTTCATTGCTCCTGACAAGCTTTAATGACATGAAGAGTGCTCATCAGTTGTCGCCATGGAGGAACCAGGGTTAAATTGCCCTACGTGAGGGATCAACTCGGACTGCAAGAAAGGGTCATGGTAGAACTACTATCTTATTTTAAATCCTACATCTTGGAGGGGGTAGGGTAGACAGAGAGAGTCCCAAAGGCACAAGATCAGACCATACATGCTGTTGATGTCCCTAACAGGCATATATTCATTCCTAAGATATGCAGGCTCTTATTACTCTATGTGCTCTATGTGGAAATTCGGGAGTCCCCAATTTCTGCCTGCTCTGTATATTATTCGGTATCTGGCTCAGTATTGCACACATGTTAGGTTCACAATAAATATTTAATTGACTGAATCCCAAGGAATTTCACATAGTCTTTTCACATACTGGGACTTTGTCATTACCCACTGTAAACTAAAAGGGCCTTTGTCAGGGCGCCTGGGTGGCTCAGTGGGTTAAACCTCTGCCTTCAGCTCAGGTCATGATCTCAGGGTCCTGGGATCGAGCCCCACATCGGACTCTCTGCTTGGCGGGGAGCCTGCTTCCTCCTCTCTCTCTGCCTGCCTCTCTGCCTGCTTGTGATCTCTCTCTCTGTCAAATAAATAAATAAAATCTTTTAAAAAATAATAAAATAAAATAAAAAATAAAAGGGCCTTTGTTATGAAGATTTTCATCATGGTGGAATTTATTGCTAGAGGTTTTGGCCATCACATTGTAGCACATAAAATTTATATATATATTTTTTTTGGCATAATAAAGGCTTGTGTGGAGTCTGTCTTTTCAAAAAGTGTTTAAAGACCCAGCTGAATCTTTTGATTTTTTCCTTTAAAATCTTTGTAGTTTGTAGTTATTAGTTACGGAGCCCTCAGGCAACTGTCAAAGGTGTTATGGAAATCTTTTTTTTTTTTCTTCCTTCAGGGAAACTTGATTTGAAAAACAAGCTCTAGAACTTACTTTCCTGTCAAGGACAGTTCTTTCTTATTGGTGGGGGGAGGCAGGGAGGACCACTTTGTCTCTGTTCAGTTGTGACAAAATATGGAAATCATTATGTGATTTTTCCCATCTATTAACAATAATAGCCTTGATTATCTCTTTAGAAATTCAGCAAAATCACAGTGTGTGAGGAAAATCTCTGTAATTACCACTAACCATAGGTTTTGTCCAATCAATTAATAGTGCTTTGAAATTCTCTTTACTAGCAATAAATGGACTATTAAGACTTAAAGTTCTCCTTTCACTCACTTTCTGCACCTGCTTAGTGTTAAGCTCCCAGCAGTATATTTTCATTTAATTATTTTAATTTTCTCAACATTTGTTTCCAGTATTTCCCACAAGGATAGCAGAAGCCTTGGCTCTGGTTTTGTTTTTTTTTTTTTCTACTTCATCATGTTTCCCTATTAATGTAAATGCTGCATAAGTTCTTTCTAAAGAAGAATAAATAAAACTTTCAGAGTACTTAGGAAGTAAATATTTTACCAACTATAAAATGTCTTACACAATCTGAGAATTTAATCTTGTTATGGAAGCTAGAAGTCATTTGGATGATTACTTGTCATAGAGATAAATTCACATAATGTAAATCTTTTCAGATTGGCTTTAGTCCCACAAACACTGACATCTGACTTTTTTCTCTCCTAAGCAATTGCTACTGAGCTTAAAAAAAAAAAAAAGCCCCCACAAATTCAGCACTTTGAAATAAAAGAATAATGGGGTTTCGTAAATGACGAGGAATACTGTGGGTATATCCCTCTGTGGCTGCCTACCACACGAAGTCAAAAAGTTTTGGTTATGGTGATTTTCTCCTCTCAGGAAGTTGAGTTGTTTCCAATTACTTGATATTCTGTAGTACATAAAACCCACATCAGGATGATGCCACAAACGGCACAGTGGTTTAGTTTAATTTACTTTTAGTATTCAATAAAAGTCCACCAGTGCATATTTGTTTAATTATGACTTAAAAAATAAAACCTACAGGCCAGCCAAAAAAATAAACTAACCAGTGCTATTTCACTCAGCCATCTGGCTAATTCTCAGTGGACTGTTGGAGACGAAGCCCTTGGGATGGTCTGCAGACCATGTTCTGGGGGCGTGGAAGATTGGAGACGTACACACATGCGGATGGGTGGGCTTCTGAGAAAGAGTGCACGTGTGCGGAGATGTGTGTGTACTTTTAAAGTGGGAGAGTGGCAGCAGGTGGGAACTGGTGGCCAAACTTGTTGGAAATTTTGAGTTGGAAAATGATCGATAGGTGACATTTTTGATTGCCTGGTTTCAGCCTTCTAATCTTGCCTGGCCTTCAGCCGTCCTTGACCTCCACCTTTGAGGATCCACCATTAGGATGAACTCTTAGATAGCGACCTCACTTCTACCCTGAGCTGGGACTCATTAAACTGTCTCTTCTATTTGCTGGAATGAGCTACCTCAAAAGGTGTAAGCTGTGAAAGGCAAAACTCACGTTTAGTGAAGCATCTGGAGACGTTTAGTAGCTGCCTTTTCTGAAGTTTTAATGCCTAATGAAAGCTCGACTTTACTGCTTAGATCTTAGGATAGAATATAACCTAAATTCTTCTACACAAGTCTTTTGGCTGAGTCTTCCAAATCAATATTTCGTGTGCTTTCACGGGCATTGGAGATGGCGTATGTGCATGCGTACACGTGTGTAAATCCATTCCTGTTAGACGCATAGATTCCTTTTGTCTTTGGCTTTTGTTTTGTTTTGTTTTGTTTTTGTTTTTGTTTTTGTTTTTGTTTTTTTTTAGTGTGAAAATGTTTGGGGTATGTTGGTTAAACTAAATGGAACTTTTAAACCCAGCTTTTCTGAAAGGATGTGGATCTGTACTTGATTGGTTTTCTTCTTTAAGTCCTAATGCGCACTGTCCGTGATGGGTTAGTGAAGAGGTTGCATGTGTGTTACAGATGAGGACACACATATGCAACCTCTTTATAGAGACACTGGATTTAGACTGATTCAAGGATGGTTAAAACAACACAAACACACACACACACAGAACCTGGGGGTCAAAGGAAATCCCAGTCTTTCTTACTGTCAGATTTATAAGATGAAGTAGCACTCCAAAAAATGCATTTGAAGTGATAGATTTCGCCTCGTACCACCTGGACATGGGCAGTGTAGAACAGCTAAAATCAAAACCACTTGAATTCTGGCTCAGCGTTCTCCAGACAAGTACTTAAAATAGCTTAAATAACAGGATGCAAGGGGAGGGAAAACATTTCCTTTTAAGGATATGCATTCTTGGTGTGATTCAAACTTCTGCAGGAACACGG